GCCTAATGAGGCCTCCTGCATAGATTCCGCTCTATAGTGCACAAAGAAATTGACACTCTTTTGAATCTTTCCCCTTCATTCACTTGTTCTTCTGGTCTTTTCTTTCTTCTACTGTCACTTTCTTTATTTTCTTTTTTTCTTACTTTCTTTCAAAAATAAGAATAATTATATATACAGTATGTGTGTGTGTGTATATATATATATCTACATACATACGAAACTCGAATAATTAGAATATCGTGCAAAAGTTCATTTATTTCACTAATGCAACTTAAAAGGTGAAACTAATATATGATATATACTTATTGCATGCAAAGCAAGATAGTTCAAGCCGTGATTTGTCATAATTGTGATAAGCCAGTGTTACATACATGGGCCAGGGAATAGGACAGCAGGATACTGGCTTCACACTAAGAACAGTCTGCATGTCATTAGTATGTTGTGTGTGTATGTAGTTACATAGTTGTTAAGGTTCAATAAAGACACGTATTCATCCAGTTCAACCTTTGTGCATGTGTGCATGTATGAGTTCTTATACCCCTGTATATTGTGTTCACTGAGAAATGCATCTAAACATTTCTTGAATGAGTCTTTACTCTCAGCTGATCCCACTACCTGGTGAAGGGAGTTCCACAATTTTACTTCTCTGTAAAGTAAAGAATCCCTTTCACAGTTTTGAGATTAAACATTTTCTCTACCAATATCAGATGGTGTCCTCTTGTCTTCTTAAAACAGAACTCCAGGTATAAAATGTTCTTAACCTTTGCATTGGGGCTATATAAGATATATTCACCCAATCCTCAGAGCCAGCTTGCTCTTAGACCGGTTCCTTCTGCCTGTCTCCTCCTCCGCGGCAGAAATGGTATGTCCATCTGCGTCCTCACGTCCAATATACAGTGTATTTGACGTGATGACTCACAGGACCGTAGACTGCTGCAGCTGAGAGTGAGCGAGGCGGATTGGACAGGTACATTTCTGTATGTATTCTGTATGTGTTCTAGATGCCTGTGTCCCCTGATGTTTGCTGTGATCCCTTCATCTGACACCTATGTCACTGGTGAGTCCTTATGGTATATGATGATATAGCAATAAACTGGCTATGCAGAAGAAAAATAGATTTACACCCAATATAATGTGATTCGTGGCATTGTAAGTTTGTAAATATTTTTACACAGTTCTAAATCTTTTTTTTTTCTTCAATCTGCTATAACGTTGCTTATCAGAGTCTCGTGTTTTCTAATTTCTATAATATTTTACACAAACAGAACTTTGCTTAATTCTCTTGACCAACATTGTACAAGCATAGGTAAGTTGAATACCAGACAAAGCCTTGAGCTGTTGCCTTTGTAGCACGGGTGTTACTGCAGCTAAAGGTATATGGATAAAAAAGAGAAGACCAAAATTGTTTGTTGATTTTATGTTAACCATCATTATGTAAATATATCTATGAAATACAAATAGTGGCATGATTTTCTGTAAAGCATTGGCTCAACCAAGACTCTTACCATTATATGTATATATACAGTACATGTATATACACAGTATATTAGTTTTCAACAATTATACAGATAAACATGCAGGTAACTGGTTATCTATATAAAAATAAAAGTTAATTAGAAGAGGATTCAGATCTCTCAAAATACAATTAAATCTTAAAATATATAGTTATAGCTGTGGTAGTTTTATAGTTGTAAAAATGATGATGCTGAATAGTGGTCATAACATACTTGTATCTCAAGGGTGAGCAACCTGTGGTCTGTCCTACCTTGCAGCTTGGAAACCACAAGTCCCAGTATGTTGGCTATATGTACATTATAATCTGTTCCTAAAAGAGGAAGACCTGCCTACCTACCTGAGATGTGGCTGATGTGTCCATGTGTTAATATAAAGCATTTGGAGAAAGTGGTCATATAAAAGGGTTAATATAAACAATAACTAGGGATCTCAATATGTTATTAGATTACATTAATTGTACCAGGGGTAAAATTCCTGGCTATTCAAAATCAAACTATGGTTTTGTGTTGAATCCCTGAGACTACTATTTTTCCACAGACCTCTTGCAGTTATTTTTTGTACCGTTATACAGTCTGTACAGGGTGCTTTATGGCAATTTGTATTTGCTTACAATATTTTCATTTAAAGAGCATTTCTTGTGTTTTGTGCACAGCATTTTAGGGCCCTTTTAAAACATCGCATTGCAGTAATGCATTTTGGTGCGATGCAGTGCCAAACACTCTGAATGGCACCTAACCCACCTTTTCAGCGTGCTTGTTTTTCAATGCCCTGCAATGGCAAAGAATATGCTGCCCTAATGCAGCATGTGTGGTGTGAATGGGCCCTTGGTAGTATAATGTGTTTTCCTTAAAGGTAACTGTGAGGCCAGGAATTTGGTAGCTCTCATTGTGGACTTAGCAATCAAGATAAAAGCATACAAAATGCAACAGTAGGTGCTTATTCTTTATTCTTTCATGTCCACTTTCTTCCCACTAACATTTATAAAATATTTTCCATCCAGCATACCATCATCAATATTGCTTACTGGAGTTCATTGCAGCAATATCAATATTGCTAGCCACATATAAAATAAGCTTTCTGTACATAAACTGCTGCTCCATTTTTAGGGCCTGTTCACACCTAAGTGTAGCATTAATCTTATGATACCATGAGATTAATGCACGCTTTCGCACAACGCAGCTAGCGTGAGTTACCTGTGCTGGGTGGATTGCATACTGTTCATTTGAATGCAACACCTCTCAGCTATCATGCATTGCAATGCAGCACAACACATGGTAACACAATACCCTGCATTGTAGTAAAAAAAAAGTAGTGCATGCACTACTTTTTCCACTGTAAGGCACGGTATTGCGGTACAGTATTTTGCGCTGTGCTGTAGTGCACGGCGGCTAAGCAGGTCTATTGGGGTGCCATTAAAATTAATGGCAATGCACCTAGCACACGGTAATGCACACTAAGTAACATGCAAAAAAGCTACACTTAGGTGTGAATGGGCCCTAAAGGTTGCACCAGCCTCTGGAAATGTAGAATTAATAGCACTGCGAAACACAGGATTGACAGAGTCATCATAGTTGGCATTCCTTAGGCAAAGCAGCAACTTCAATTCATGTAAGTAACTCTGTATCCAAACAAGTTAAGGCGGGCAACATTGTAATAAACTGTAATAAGGACTGAATGTGCTGCTATATTTAATGGACAGAGGCTGACACACCTTTGAAAACAGAGAAACAGTTTACTCACAAAATGTTTATTTTACACGATCGGTATTGCTGCTGTGAATTCCAGTAATCAATACTGATGATGGCTGGATTGAAAGTGTTATAAATATTAGTAGGAAGAAAGCAGAAGTGACAGAATAGAGCATAAGTGCCAACAGATACATTCTGTATCCAGGCTGATCATAGTTTCTATATCTAGTGAATCACTAAAAGCATGCAGCCAGCAGTCTGCAAAAAAAAACATTTTATTCTGCCTGCTTGTTCTAGGTCAGTGAGTCAGTGGTTAGTGGATTCAGGTTCAGAATGGCAACCCAGGAACCTGGATTTACAAAGAGATACTTAACTGTGAAAGATGTGCCAAAAAGGTAAGTAGAGGGCAGACGACTAGTCCTCAGTGTTGCTTGTGTTGTCTCCTTGCAGCTGATCTTTTCCCTGACTTAGTATGCCTTGTTCCACACTGTGCCTCTGTGTGGAAGGGGTGATACTGGTAGAGACAAGGCTTTGCTTTCTCTTTTGCCAGATTTACTCCCCACCATGTTAAATGGTAATCTTAAGATTCATGATGTAATAAACAAGAAGCATCAGAAGAGGTAGTGGAAGAGTACATCCACAGAATGAATGATGCAGAAGCAGTAAGATGCTTGGTGCAGGTCCTCATGTACAGCTTCCTCACCAGCAAGGAAAACAGTGAGTAGCATAGCAGTGACATCTCTAAATTTTATGAGAATAGAAGTCACGGGCACTGTGCTTTATGTTCACACTGCAGATATACAGCTTTGAGTTCCTAAATACAGGAATTATACAGCTGTTTTTTTAGGAGGAATTCCAAACAAAACAGTAAATCTTTTGGGTACTGCTTAGGCTGTAGGGAACATCTAGAAACCTAGATGTTCCCTATAAGATATGGAAAGCTTCACTTTTTCAGTACAGAATAGGTTCACTGAGAAAGCCCATTCAGACCTATCCTCTTTGATACAGTGTGCTAAAGTGTGGTGTGTTAAGACAGCCCATTCAAATGAGCTGCAATACAGCACAGTAGACCTAAAATCGGATCTGCATAATTTTTTCCAACTGCACCCAAATAAAACGGTAGTGTATGCACAGCGCATAGGTCTGAATGGTTCATTAGTTAATGAAGAAGGCTCCCATATTTCTACCCTCTACTCCTTTAATGCATCTCTTTCTTTGGTGTACTCTGATATCATAATCAGAGCTGTTGCACACACTACGAGACATTAATGGTATTTCTTAGAATTCCAAACTTCACTGTTGGGAAAAGTTGCATTTGCTTTTAAGGAATCACTGACTCATTTTTTTTGTACAGTTTTTTGTGTCTGTCTACCTACTGAAAAGCGGCTACAGAAAATTAAATGGGTAGTAGCAGTAGAATATTTACTGCCCAATTCATTTAGTTTAGTGTTAAATAGAGATTTTTCAGACTTGTCAGTTTGATAATTACACTATATTGTAGGAAAGGTTACTACTAAGACTAACTTTGCAAGTAAAGCTATACTTAGGTGGAACTAAATACATTTGTGATAATATGGGAATGCAGTGTTAAGCCACTAATACACACCACATCACTCATAAGTATGTGGGAGATCAATTATTTGAAGTGGTGTGTATCATAATCATGAATGTATTTGTAAGCTATGGTATTATTAATGGATAGTCTGCATTACTAAAACTTTTAAAACATGTGCCACTGTAAAAAAACTAAAAAGGTTCAATGTGTAAATCGATATTTCTTTTAAGAAGTAAAGGACATTGCAAGTTGATGGTGATAATGGCCATAGCTAAAGCCCCATTATTTAAAATATGAGCCATGGGGTAAAGTTCTGAGACAGGTGAAACTGTTTGGATATTTTCCTAGTATCACCGGATTTCCTTCCATTCTCACTTCATCCAGTCTGGTACGGAGGTATCGAGTGTCATTTGCTTTACAGAAGGTGTCATCCGTGATGGATGTAATATTGTTATTCTGAAAGAATAGAAAATGATTGGTATTATGGACGCACATTTATACAGCTCATATATTTGTATCTTTAATATTTATGTCATTTATTTTTTCATGTTATATATCATTTTATTGTGTGAAAGTTAGTGGGTAATATAGGTGACATTTGTGTCTTTAATTTGTTTGTGTCGCAGATTCCTCCACATCAACTAAACATACTGGCATATCAATAATCTCAGTGGCAGGGACATGAAAATGTAAACTTCACAACAGCAGGGACTGATTTAAATGGTAACAGTATTGTTTCTTCAATGATATGTTATCAGTCTTCTGCAGGCAGGAAGGAATTTTTTCTTAGTCTTTTTTCACACATTGATCACTGAGTGTAATGTGCAATGTTTTGGCAGGTCAGCATCACTGATCTGTTTAGGACTGTTTTGAAATAAAAGGCAATAATGGTCACAAATTGTGTCAAAAACCCCTACCGACAACTTAAATATTCTATTTTCACATTTTAAAACCTTGAACTTTAATCTTTAAGGGCTTGTTCACACCAATTGCCATGTGTTCCAGAGTGGTAGCTGCTGTACAGTGCTGTGGACTGTTGACAGATTCCAGTTATCTATTCTCATCCGACAGCCAGCCAGTTAACGGGGCCTATTCCGAATACTTTCCTCTGGCAAACGGTACGAGACAGGGATGCTCCCTTTTCCCACTGTTATTTATTTTGTCACTGGAACCTCTACTCTGCCGCATTTGCACACATCCTGACATCATTGGCCTCTTGGGAGGCCCTCTTTCTCACAAAATTGCCAGGTACGCGGAGGAACTTCTCTTTTTTATCTCCAAACCTCTACTTTCTCTTCCCAACTTGATGCGAGAATTGAAAGAGTATAGTGCTCTCTCAAACTTAAAAATTAATTTACAGAAATTGAAAGCCCTTAATCTTACCGTCTCTCAGAGTCATTTGTCTACACTTCAAATGGCCCACCCCTTCCGGTGGACGGCTGCCCATCCGTCAAATTACTCCATCTGTTGAACACATTTTCGCCTCTAATTTTCTACTATTTCTAGCTACTATTCACCATGATCTGGCCAAATGGTCGAAAGGTATGCTTTCCTGATTTGGAGAGGAATAGCGTCTTGAAAATGAACATACTCCCGCGAGTATGTTGTACATGGTTCGGGCACAGGTGCACTTTACCATTTTAAACTCTTAAGTGCCCTAAGAGGTTGATGTGCACCACACATGTAAGGTACCGCCACGTATGACAGAGTGAGAGCAATAATACTAGGGCCATCTTTCACAGTTAACTGTAAACTGATGACCTGTAGAGACTTTTTTTTTAGCCCTTTTGCTGTCCTGTATATACTGTAAGTACTAAACACCATCAGTGTAAACTGACACCTGGTTCCTCTAGCAGCCAGGAGTCAGTTTACTTTAATTCACCTATGTACAGGGAATGACTCAAGTGGCTTTAAAGGTACCCACTCACTTCATGGCCTCTGCCCTCCCCTGCCACCCCATGCCATTTATCCCAGATTTAGTCACTTACGGTTTAGTGCTGTCATTCCCTGCTGCTGTGGCCAGGGATGACGCTAGTTAAGTACAATCTGTGTTTGATTAGCTTAATTGTGCTGCAGAGATGACATTAGGGTCCTTATAGACCTGTCACCACTATTCAGCTATCACACGGGGCTTGTTAGCTCCTTACGTGACAGACTTTACTTTAAAAAAAGTTTTAAAAAAAAGCATTTTAAAGCCTCTACATACATGCACATATGAATGCTTGCGTTGAGTGGGCCTATGTATAAAAATAACAATTGCACCACTTGTTAGTTATTGCTGCGCACACCAGAGTGAATGCATTTTTGGGTTTGATAAAATGTTGCGCTAACATTGTATGACATAAAAAGTTACTAAAAAGAAACTACCACCATTTAATTTTCTAGGGTCTTTGCTTTCACAAAATATATATTTTGTGGGGGCTTTGAGCAATTTTCAGGCCTATAATGTGTACATTAACGTGTGCAAAAATGCGAAAACAGCTCTGGCAGTGAAAGGGTTACGTTACATTGTAAAAAATTCTCATAATGTTATGCCAGGGATATACACCACTTTCATCTCTGTGACATCATCCACACTGTCCAGTTTTAGATGTATAGATAACAGGATGAGTGTCTTGTGTGTAAAATTGTTTTATTAGAGTGCATTACAGTACACAGGATTTACTCTTAGACTGTGGGTTATGCAATTGCATTCAGGTAAGTGAACCTTGGCAAACAAAGCTGTAAGGACAGCCTTAATATAACTCGTCCCACACCCAGTAAGCCTCAGTTTTGTAGCAAGCAATAAGGAGTCAAATATAAGGACATAGGGAAGGGGCCCATTTCCTGTAATGTCCTCCTATTTTGTAAATTGTACATTACATTAATCTTAGACTATGGAAAGTCCAAAAGCAGTTCAACTGAGGTGTGTGCAGTACAGCAAACAAACTCTAACAGGCTCACATTACAAACAGGTCAAGAGAAGGGCTCGACACAACTCAGAGAACAGCTTGAAGCACCTTACAATCGAAACTGGCATCAGATGAGGCCTCAACATTTACATTCAGGAACTTTAGAGGGGAAAAGGCATAGATCTAGTTGAACTGATCCCACTGAGTTACCATGAAGGCCTGGGGATCCCTGGTCCTGGCCAGTTTGTTGGTGAAACTGGATGCCAGGTGGTCCACACCCGGAGTCCTTCACCTGGGACAGAGGCCTTGAAATATCTGGTGGAGAGACATTGTCTGGAATCCAGACACTGACAACTAAGAATGTCTAATTGCCAATGTTCCACAACAGGGATATGCATGTAGTAAGGGATGCAACATGGAGCTTCTCCCAAGTTTCTCCCACGCCAAAATAAGTTCCACTTCTCTTTTAGCTCCAAGACTTGTGGTGTCTCCCAGATTTTTCATGTAGGTCACTGCCTTAGCCAGGTCCAGCAGAATCCAAGGAAGGGACAAACGTATTGCCCTAAGCTCCAAGATATGGATTGGAAGCCAAATTTCCTCTGATGACCAAAGGCCCTGCAAGGAAGGAGGATCCAGGACTCCTCCCCAGCCTGACAGGCTGGCATCTATTGTGGGCACCTTCCAGGTCATTGGGAGAATAGATTATCCTAGTTCCAGCGCTTGGCAAGCCTGCTTTTGCTGGACAGACGTATGTGGTAATCCAGAGACTGGGACTGTGTCATATTACCTCCAGGTCTGCCAGTACTGCTAATGGTGCTTGTTGAATCCCTGCCAGGATTACTAGAACCTCTGCCAGAACGTCTAATGGCAGATGCAGAATTTCTACCAGAGCCTCTAATGGTGCTCAGGGCAGGCCTTACAGCTTGTCTCCTGTGTTCAATCATCAGAAAATTAAGATCCCATATGTATGATTAGGAAAAAATATTTGTCTAAAAGAGTTTTGTAATTGTAAGGATCTACAAACCTGGAGATGAATGACCCGTAGGCTTTCAGGCAGATTTGCTGGCACACTCTCTAGCTGATTGTTAGCCAGGTAGAGATAAGCTAAGTTTGTTAGTTTCTGTGGGAACAAAACAAGAATATAGTTAGTCTTCTGCACTGAAAAGTTATCATTAGCACAACATGTTGATAGTATGTCATGAGAACAAACTAAATTGTCCTTTATGTTCTCTACTTTCACCGGCTGCTTTACATGATCTAATAATTTAACCTTCACAGAGGGGTCTGCACCCCACAGAATGTGTTGACCACTGTAACTTTAATATATTTTCGGTGAATATGATTGAACCTTCAGTCCAAAGTGAGTTAATGTATTTAGTTGGTACAAGTCTCTCTGGCTAGAGACATTTTACACTTGTACTGACCAAGCAATTCAATCTTTAATGTTACCCAAAACATAAGGTCAGTTTTGCAAAACTGTAACCTTTAAAGTGGAACCAAAGTCCCACATTAAAAAATTGCTAAGAGTATTTTGTAAGATGGCCAAAATGGAGCTAAGTGTCAGGAATGAAGTAACTCCTGTGCACATGCACAGGAGTTTCTGTACATCATTATATACCACTCAATAAATGAAGAGGAGCCACATGGGACACAGTACATGGGGGAAAGAGTAGTGACTTCAAACCTGGAGCTGTCAATGCTGGAAGAGGGCACTGTGTGAGGTATGTGTACCATAAAGTGCAAATATGCTGTGCATATCTACACATTATGGCAAAAGACCGCACAGCTGGCTTTAGTTCTACTTTAAAGCCCAACTAAACTTTCAGTTTAAATCTGCTAAATACATTCCGGGTGCATCAAAGCAAAAGGTATTAAAAGTCCAGGGCCCGACCTTTACAGTACGGTGTGGTACATTAATTAAAATGGGCTGCCAATGCGCCAAAGTGGACCAGAAAATGTTCCTGCACTATTTTTCCTGATCCGGCATGCCACAACACATGGTAGTGCTTGAATGTGTATAGCCAGGATTGTGAATGTTAACCACTGTAGAACATTCCTCTATGTTGAAATGTGGCATGGACAGAGTAAAGTAAAGATACCTATAATACAGAGCTTTGGTAGCCATCTGGCCAAAAACTGAATGGTGGAGGCCATCTTAAAGAAGACCAAGAACAATGCTCAGCTATGGAATGTCTACATTGCTGAGGCTGGCCAAACGGATAAGGATGGACTGTAATTGGCTGGAAGAAGAGGCCAGAGAAGGGGAATGGAAGGAAGAGAGGTCTCAAGGGACACACTTGACGAGACACATGAACGGGGATCAGAGGTGTGTAGGACCGCTAGCTGCAGCACCTGTTACCAGCTACCAACTCTAAAGTTGATATACCCCCTGTAGCATTGTGGACGCAGGCTCAATGAGGTGCATGCTACATGTGCGTTGTGGTGATCTCCAACAAGTTTCCCAAAGGTGTGTTCCATTAGTGCGTGGAGATGCCATTTAAAATTATTCCTGCTGAGCCAGAGCTACAGCTTTTGATTCAGAATTGCACATGAGCTTTTCTGATTTCAAATCTATAGTTCTTACTGAGCAGGGGTGACTCCAACCTCCATATGAGTTCACGACCATCACACAGCAAGCAAGGGACCTTCTCTGCAGCATACTTGCATGGGACAGGCTTTTTTACTCTGTGGCAGATTTTTTAAATAAAATTAACTGTAAGAACACCTTTTGCATAGTGCACCTGGAATGTATTTAGCTGGTTTAATCATTTGACTGTCAAGGACAACATGGCAATGAAAGGGTGAATTAGCTGATACATTTAGTGCAGTTGTAAATGTTCTACCCATAATCAATTGCTATTGATGTATGTGTTATTGAGTTGGATATTACCTTGAATGCATTTGCTTTGACTGCTTTGCTTTTGATTAAGTTATAATTAACATTGAATGAAGTTAGTTTTGTTGGCAAGACTGGAATCCTGGTCAGTCTGTTTTCAGCAAGGGAAAGCTGTTCAAGGAAGACTAGTTTTTCAAAAGCTTTCTCTTCTATCTCTTCTATAACATTTCCAGTCAGATCAATCCTCCGTAAAGTAGCTGGGAAGAAGAAACAAAGCATTTTCTTTCAGTTCACAATGCTTTATTCTAAAACCTGAAGTATAAATAATGGTAGACATTCCCAAAAAAATTATTCTTGGAAGAATGTTTTTCTTTTTTTAATGTGACATATGCAAGAGTGGGTATCTTGAATGCTAGAGTTACTGGTTCACCAGAGCAGTTTTAGGAAAGCAGGGAACACTGATGAGGGGACTCTTTCAGGTTCAGTGCTTACATAACTAATCGTAATAAAATAGAAACAGTTATAATACTTAATGTGCTGAATAAAAAAGCATTATATGCGATTGAAAATCAAAAGTTTATCTATAAAATCTGAAGCAAACAAAGAAAAATACCACATCTTAGAGACATGAAAGCTGTCCTACGAAGAACCCCTATTGGTATTTTATATGGATACTACGGATATAATTCTCTAATATGCAGTACTTTTTCTGTGTGCTACAGCAAACAGTGATATGCACTATAAGTAAGCACATCAATTAGTAGGCAATAGCCGTACCAGAAATTAGGAACAGCAATAGCTGGTACAGGGAGGCTTGCAGTTATATACATAACATACATCTTAGAAATATCTTGAGTTTACTTACGAAAATCAGAGAAGTCTTTTACAGTAATTTTCTTAATCTTGTTAAATCTTGCATATAGATATGAAGTCTCCTTAGGTAAAGGAGGCACTTCTTCAATCTCGGTTTCTTCACAGTAAACTGATCCACTTAAACATACACACGCCAAGCATGTAGGTAAATCTGAAATTAAATAATTGGGATTCTTTCTAATTTCAAGAAGTTGTCAATATTAATATGAACTTTAAACCTGCATCCATTGTTGTTTCCTTGCAACTATTGTTTATCTGTCACTCAGCAAGTTCTAAGACTATCTTATGAAGACATACCCCCCCCCCTCCCCCCAAATGTGCTTTCAAGTTGGATAAACCTGTGATGGACTAGTGTATTTAAACCCAAAAGTGAACATATATTATATTCTGGCTTACCAAGTCTTAGGCCTCATTCACACTATGCGATTTGGGATTCCTGCAGCAGAAATACACGGTTTCCTACTCCAGGAATCCCAAATTTACAAAAATGCACATAGGCTGTTTACTTTTGAAGGGATTTTGCACTTTGAGGAGGGAGGGGGAGAGAGAAAGAGAGGTGAAACTCTGCTGACTTCCATAACCCAATTACGTGCAATGCAAAAATATTGTTCTATTTCGATTTTTTTGGGCCATTATTATCATTCTTTGCAAAATGAAATTTTACCACATTCACCAAGCTAAGAGAAACCCCCCTGCAATGTGCAAATTCATTTGCAAAGTGAGCAGCCTATTTGCCTTTAGTAAATCAACCCCACTATCTCATGACCATGATCAACTTCACTCCTGCCTTTAACCCTTCATTCCAGATTTTCATGTCTAAATGATCCATACTCAAAAAAAGGTATCTCTCTTGAACTCCTCCCTCTTAAACTCCAAGATCTAGCATATTATCTTCATATGCTGCTAAATGGGAGGAGCTGCGTTTGTCTCTGGAAGTGGAGGACTGGACTCAAATATGGTAGTCAACTAAATCTAGTTCCCCCAAGGTGTACTCTCCTTGAAACCAACTACACATTTTTGTCTAGGTAGTAAGTGGAACTTGGTCCCATCACATATGGTCAAATTTGCTCCAAACTCATCACCACAGTGATTCAGATGATGTAATGAGATTGGCACCTTCTATCACAGCTAATGGACATGTTCAGTTGTGAGTGATTATTGGTCTAAGACATACCAGGTAATAAACACAGTCCTACAAACTTCCCTCAAAAAAACAACTGAGGCCATATTTCTAAAAGAATAAAAGATGGGCTTACGCATGCTCAGTTTCAATTAATAACTTATATTGTTATTGCTACCAAACAAACTATAGCAAAAGCCTGGAAATCTGCTGACCTCAACACCAAGGAAGACACATCCAGAGTTTCCTGGATGATCTATAACAATAAAATGACTGCCATGCTAAAACAACCGAAAGTCCTCCTTTGAAAATACATGGTCCCCATGGATTCGCCATTACTTACCCCCTGACTTGGACAGCCCGCTGTTCACCTTTTAGAATAGAAAAGGATGGATGCATCAAGGGACTCCTCATGGCCTGAAGTGTTCCTCTGGCCGTAGCCTCCTCTTGACCCTTTCGACTCACTCCTTACCTCACCGCCTCTATCCTATCTTTCTTTCTTTATTTCCAAATCACCAACAGTATCCAGGCAGATGTAGATATGGACTACATATGCGAGTTGTATAAATGCATCATCATGAAATAACTATGGATGAAGAAAATAAATGCAAGCTCACTGTTTATAACCTTTGTACAGCCTTCATTGTTGGGATACCTTTAAATGCAAAATGATTGTATGCCATTTATTTGGAAAACTTTGAAAAAGCATTATTAAACAGAAAACCATACAAGAGCATAATACATATTATACCCTCACTAATATTTTTACTTTAATACTATGATTTATAGATAGGAAAAAACTCAGTGGCTACCTTTAACTTCTGAATCATCTGTGGAATCAGCAGCACCTTTTTTATCTTCGTCACGTTTAAATCTTGATATTATAAGTCCATTTTTCTGTTAAAGCAACACAAGTATAGATTGTTAGACTAGCCAAATGGAGGAAAACACTAGACATGTGCGATTCGTTTCGTTCCAAATCGAAATTCGGACGAATTTTCGGAAATTCGGACATTCGGATGTATCCGAATTCCGAATTACAGACATAACGAATGCAAACGAATCCGAATTTCCATTTCCGAAATTCGGTAGCGGTAGTTCGAACGTTCGTTTCGTATTCTGTTCTTATTCGTTTCTTATTCGTTTCGTACGTTGGAGCAAAGTGACATTAGAGAAGGAGAAAAATATTTTTTCCCCCTCAAATGTCACTTTGCTGCAAACGAACGAACGAAACGAATAAGAAACGAATAAGAACAGAAAACGAAACGAACATTCGAACTACCGCTACCGAATTTCGTCCGAATCCGAATTCCGAATCCGAATTGACTTTCACACCTGAATCCCGAAAAACGAAATAACACAAATCCGAATTTAAAACGAAACGAAACAAAACAAATTTTTTGGCAGTGCACATGTCTAGAAAACACCCATTAACCTATGACTTCCTGGATTAAAGCAGACCCTGACCCATGGACCTTACTTTAAAATTAAAACGATTTTTATCATAACACTGTATTTTGTAATTTTACGTACACTTGCATATATCTGAAACATATTTCTCTTAGGACAGGAAAAGCCTAATATATTTGTTTTGGATGGTGTCACACTACGCTGAATTACTCCTCTTCACAGCTTGGAGTGGTGGCTACTCTACAACACATAGGGACCATGGGGAACAAAAGTAGCAACCCTCCAGAAGGAAGGACAGTGTCAGCACCAATTCAGAGATGATTTGGTGTCACAATCTGTGATCAGGCTCAGAGTCCAGCAGCTGAAGCAGCAGGCAATTCGTAGTATAACAGGCCAGGTTTGGTACACAAGCAGAGGGTAGTATGGAGGAGCAGGCAGAAGCGTAGTCAGCGAACAAGCCGAGGTCAGGAGCCAAAGGTATCAGGTATGTAGCAGGAGACGGTGAGAGTAGTCGGTGAATCAGCAGCCAAAGGTCGGTACACGGGTAGCAGTATGAGTAGATTGTAGCACAGAGGGAGCAGGAAGCAAGATAATGGCAGGAGCACAATAATCTGGCAAACAGGAAGTGCAGAGGCATAGCTTAAATAAGAAGTTCAAGGGAGGAGCAAGGAGTTCAGAGTTCAGCAGCGATTAGGTATAACTGAGGATACACAGGAGATCAGGCAAGGAGCTATCCAAGGTTCTAAGGTGGCTCAGCAGGTAGAACCACCACCAGCTACAGCAGAGGCCCTGGGTTCAGATCTGGTTCCTGACAGTTGGAGATCTACAGTCGAGTGATACACAAATAAGCTACATTTTTGTTAATAGTCAAGGTACTAAGGGTCGGCACTACCGCTATGCAAACTAGGCAGCCGCCTAGGGCCCGCCGCCACCTAGGGCCCAGCCGACCCGGCTCCCCGCAGACTCCGCCGGCATACAGGACCGTCCGTATTCACTCAGACAAGCACAGTTCCTTGCAGATGCTTGGAAAAGCTGTGTGCCCGCGGCTGCAAGGAACTGTGCCTGTCTGAGCTGCCTCTGTCCTATCAGATCACTCTACCCATCCACAGTGCAGCGGTGGAGTGATCTCTCTGAGGCTCCAGGGTTTAGAGGCATCTGCAGTGGTCTATCCTCCCATCCTCCTGCCTTGTACAGTGCTGGGCGTCTTGCTAGTTCCAGCTGCAGCGCTGTGTGAGGAGGTAAGAGGGGTGTATAGTGTGGGGGCCTCTCTCTTTCTCTCTCCCCCTCCCTCCTCAAAACCAGTATTGGTGGCTCTTGTAGTGACTGAAATCAGCCCTGCATGCTTGCTGGTGATTTTGTGTTGGCATGAAGGTTGAGCAATCATTTACATTTTATGATTTTGCAAGTTACTATTCCTTAATTGCTTAGTTGAGTAACTTGTATTGTAATATAAAATAAATTATTGCTCAGTTATGTACAATCACTAGAAATGATTGTGATGGTATATGACTGAGCAATTATTTATTTTATCCTGAGACCCTCTGCACCCCTTCCGAGACCTTCTGCACCCCCTCCAGAGAAGGAGTTAAAGAATTGTGAGACTGAAGAAAGCCTTAAAAGTTGCGTTTTTAGTTGAATTTGGGGAAACCACTTGAAAAATGTGTTGTGTTGACCTATTACAATTGCTTTTATGTAATTTGTTTATTGCAAACAGCTGAAAGTCAAAATGTTGCCAATAAACCTGATTTGCAATGGGGGTTGAATAATTTTTTTAATACATCTGTACATTCAACAGTGGACATCCTTTCTACTGTTCAATTTTTGGAACATTTTAACATTTAACGCAGTTAAATCTTTTTGCTAGGTCTGGAAATGTTCCCATTCCAAGGCATTAATTGGCTGCATCACCTTGATTAGACTCATGTTTTGTATCTCAATGGTTTCATTAGTGTAGCTCTAAAACATTTTTAATGGTCAGAAGGACTGAAAAGGGAGGCAAAAATTCTCAACATTGTAGTTTTTAAAAAAATTGATAACCATAAGGTTTTTACGATATATATATATATATATTAGAGGTGGGGGGCAATGCCACAATGTAATTTGGCAACACTGTCACCCAGAACTCTTAGTCAGAGTGGCTGAGAGATTCCAGAATGTGAATACGTTTGCAGGGAAGAAACTAGCTTTCCATTTTTTACCATGTTTTCCACAATGTAGCAGAATGGAATCTCTACCCCTGGGGCCAGGTGTTGCCAATGACCAGTCTAGTAGGATCAGGTGGCTGAGATCAGCTTTATTACGAGTTTGGACCAGAGCTCAGGGGAGTTGTGGGTGTGCAGGAGGCTTACGGCCATAGGCAGACCCTGCTGCATGCGTGAGCACATGTGGAACAACTGCAGAAGGGCTGGGATAGGTCAAAAGGGTCAGTGACACCCAAAGGACCTGTTGGAGAGACTGAGAGAGAGACAGTGACAAATGAGGGGTGAGCACTAAAACGCTTGAAGCTGAGGAAAGCTGCTGAGCAATACTGAGGACTGTATTTGCAGAGAAATACGGTAAAGTCCTCGGACTATCACACTGAGCGTGTATGGGACAGTCAGATGTCGGTGAGACAGAAATATGAAGTTTTGATGAAAGTCAAATGAACTGTTATGTTTTGTTATGCTGAAGAAAAGCAGATTATTATGTGAAGTACATGGATTGGCCTTTGAGTGAATTAAGATTTGCCTTTTATGTCGGCTTCAGGAGTGGTCACTTAGCGCTCACCCTTGTCCTATATTCCCCAAACTACCACAAAATACGGAATATATATATTTTTAATAGTAAAGTACACATAAGCGTAACCTTATTTAGATTGTATTTTATATTGAATCTTGGCAGTGAAATATTTTCCAGTTCCATACATCTGCTGCAGCCATTACAAAACCAAATTATGAAGTAATGCTCCAGATGGATTCTTCATAATGATGAATGACTGAGAAAGTTCAGCTATGAGAAAGTGACACTTTTTGGGAAGGAATAGAACTGCAAACATATATGCATGACTGTCTCGGAGAGATGCAATATCACATATTTACTTTAATTATCATGCATTGTCATGGTTTAGAATTAGGTCTTGTAATTTACCAGTCTGCTGGTGTTTTGGTCATATTTCACGTTGCGTTCTAGATGCAGTGAAAGTTTTATAAAGAAAAGCTAATTAAGGCCAGTTCATACTGGATATTACCATAATTTGAAACGTTAGAAACAGCTGCAGGTCGGATTTGTAGGTTTTTCTTTCTATCTTCATATATCCACTATGTACTATGTATGCATATATGTTTAATTGTTTGTTATTTATGTTAATCCAGATTGTGTTTTCAGGTGGGAATTATGACATCACAGTGATGCCAGAAAGGGGAGGGGGAGAGGTTTAACTCTGGTCTGTACTTATACATGTGCGGTAATCTACTATATGCTGACTGTGGGTCAGAAGAATACATTACTAAATTTACTCTTGTGACCTAAAAGTGAACTATAAAAAAAAAGGTTTGGCTATAGTTCATGTTTATGGAGGGGACCCTGCATGGCCCCGAAACGCTGGCATTTTTTACATAATTTGCAATTTAAAAAAACTTTCTTCGTGCAAGGAGGTTGTCCTGTGCAGGAGGGGAGATGGAAGGCAGCAAGACTGCCTACAGGGGAGCCATAAGGAGACTGATGTGTACAAATTGGGGAGAGCCCCAAGAGACTGTACTGTGAGACAGGAGCAGAAAGAGAGCAACATGGTGCAGAGCAACTGTAGTAATGCTTTGGGGTACCATTTAAATTGAACGGTATCGCAATATGGTTCATGCATTGCCGTAATGCATCGACCTTAGTTTCTTTAAGCTTCTGGTTAAAAAGTTCTTGTTTAGTCTTAATTATTTATGACAGTGGAAGCTTATAGTGTATGTTTCTATGTTCACAGAACATGGCTTCCCAAGTAATGTTAGGCCTTGTATAGACAAAATGCAGTAAAAGCCTGTGTTGCCCATAACAAATAGTATTGCAAATTACAAAATTAAAGGCTTTGATTAGTTTCTTTGGGCAACTCAGACATGCATCAATAATGCAACTTCATATTATGGGCTACTTTACCTGTACACCATTTTAAAAGGCAAACAGATACCAACCATATTATGACTCTTTGCAGTTCAAATCATAGAGATTGTGCATTTTAGTTATAAAAGTTGCCTTCTTGTTTCAAGGAGACCTGTATTAGACATGATGACTCATGGATCCTTAGACCACCGGAGTGGAGGGGGGAGAGAGGCTGCATTGCCCAGTATAGCAGTCTGAGGTTCTGGTGAGTATATCTTTGTTATTTCAGGACCCTAGATGAAAACAGCACTTAACCCTTTCAGTGCAGGGATAGCCTCACTGCGAGGATTACGTTTTATTCTGCCCGGAGTTCTTTAAAAATTGCTATTTGCATATTAGAGGTCCCCAGACTTCTGTTCTCCAGGGAGCTCTCCAAGCAGCTCTCCAAGCTATACCAGCAGATGTACTGTTCATATCAGCCTGCAATTTAGAGCAAGTTCACACAGGGCTGTACACATTGCAATGCAATTTGAACTTGGTATGTCAAGTTTCACAGGCGGCATCACCTGTCAATCTTGCCCATTGAGGTCAAAGGGACCATGCCGCATGCACACCTGTAAGCTGTGTCGTCATACTCCCCCACCCTCTAGCAAGCAATCCACTGCAGATCAATTTTCAGAGGGGCGGTACAGCCTGCCGCCCACGTGAAGGAGGACTTAGGCGCATTCAGAACTGCTCATTTATATGTGAATTAATTTGCTTAACAGGAATTTAGGATATTATTTTGGTTATAGAAACAAATGATCTCCTAAGTGCATAAGAGAGAAATGAATGTAGAATGTAAGAGATATGTAATTTGTTATAAGAGTCAGCTGTACTTTTTAGGAGCAAGGGATATTTTTTTAGAGGAGCCTGACATGTGTTTGAAGCACATTGGCACCTGAGATATATCTAGTTCTATTCTGATACTTGGCTAGCTTTCAAGAGTTGTTTTGCCAGAAATAATGTACACAAATGCACTAGAAGTCTAGTATTGAAAAGGCATAAGGTTTTTATTCTGTGCAGGTGAGTAATATTCTGATTGCTGTTATGTGCCTTCAAAAATTGTATTCTTTAAAGTAATAAAGTGACTCTTTCATCCTGTCACCACAGAGTTACTAGTATACAATGCACACCTTGTAAAAGAATAGGCGATATACTTACCACTGTTTTGCTTTTGCCTGCCCACTGCAGGTTTTCCACACTTTCAGATCAGTTGAATACCTGCTTTCCCCTCAGCAGAAAGAATCACAGCATGTGGCAGGGGTAGCAGCTAATTCACCCAACCAAAGTGTTAAATACCTGCGGTGGTCAGGGAAAAGTAAAAGCAGCAGTGTTTCAGCACATGGGCTGTCAGAAAGGTTAGTATATTGCCTCCCCTTTTACATGTTGTGCATTTTGTACAAGTGACCCTTTGATGACAGGGCCTCTTTAATAAAATACAGGATTTGAAGGTGATTGTACACGACCTTTGAATTTTTTCAGCATCCCAGGGTTCCGAAACTATAAAACTTAATTCAGTTTATCAAGCTCTGGTCAATCCCCCTCCCACCTCCCTCCCATTGTTGCTGTTGAACAATGAAGCTACTTTAGTTAATAGACCATTAGGGATTTGCAGGAGTTGGGAGTTTGACTGCATGGTAGATTATATTTTGGCACATATGACATCTTGAGGTTTTTTTTGTTTTGTTTTTTTTGGAACTGCTTGAGCATCACTTGAGTTTTATGTAATGCCTCAAATTTTGTGCATTCATAACAGTTCAGGTCATATCTCACAACGGAGTGATTTCAGTATCTACAAAAATGTTGTATAGATTATCTGCCCTGTTTCAGTATATAGGACACCTATAGAACATTAAGTAGTATTAATCTCGCAAACATTTTTTCAATAATTAATCCAGATCATATAAATATACATTGTCCAGCAAAGTTTTTTGTTTTGTTTTGCCCAAACACTTACAGTCATCATGTTTCCAAACAGTTGGCTCCAACTCTCTCAGCTCCAATTCCCTGAGCTTTCTGTCCAGTACAAGATCATAAGAGAATGTCAGCATGTAAATTTAGAGATCTGTCTAGCTGCAAAAGGAGTGAACTTCAATATCCTGGGTTCTTGAATTGTTAACCTTATGTATATTCTATTTAACTACCTCACCCCGAGGATTAAAAGATTCTTGTGTTTAGCTTTTGAGCATTTTCTTTCCAGAGGCCCAGCACATTAATTAGTTTCAGATGATGAATGCTGTTCCTGATATAAACATTTTTTTGCTAAATTTAGATTAGTTTAATCATGACTATTCTTAGCTATATACATTTTGAAAGCATTACATCTATCACGTGTTATCCTTAAAGTTAACAAGTAATGTTTTCTAGGAGCAACAGCTCCTCTTTTTTCCTTTCTCTAATAGACATCATTATTTATCATTTTCTGTAAGGATCTTATGTGTCATATAACTTAAAGTAAATGTAAGGTTTGTTCACACAGATTTGCAGTATTTTTGGCAAATTTGTATTATTTCCTGATGTACTAAAGGTTTTATATAGAGATTCAATTAAAAACAGTTAACCTTCTTTACCTATGAAAAGAAACAATCCAACCAAAGCTTTAAAATAACTATTGTATAAATGAGAAATATCTGATAAGAGACGTTAGAAAATACAAAGCAATGTTATAAATAAACTGTTAATCTTCATGTAGTCATTAAATGCAGGCCATGAGCTTATAGCTACCGTATTTTAGCTACTGCTGAACAACAGCATCCAGTATGCCTTGTTTCAACATCTCTGAAAGCCTGAAGTTTGCATACTTGCACTGTCCAGTTACAATACAAAATACATTTATGCAGGTACCTCATTTGTTTCTGTATCCTTTGAGTACTGTTCAAAGTGTTGTTTGAAAAGCAATCCTTCAAATATTTCATTCACATCATAGTCATACACTGCTTCTTGCTGTGCAGGAGGTGCAGTCTGTATGTAAGGCAGGACCAGGAGCACAGTGCACCACATTCGCATTGTCTGCATCTTTGTTCTCCCTGAAGTTCAGCTCGAAAATCTCTGCTCTGCTTCTAAATATGATTTGTGGGGGGAAATCCTTCCCCGGTGCCTGGAAGAAAACTGCATGTCATAACAATAGCGAGAGAGTGCATGACTCGTTGGCAGGGACTAAGCAGGCTTAGTCCATTGGGGGATTAGGTTTAACCCTTTAGGATGGTTACAAAAAAGGAGCAGCTTATACGAATTCAAGTAATAACCTGAGGATTTAATTTATTTCCCTAGCCGTGTGACATTACTCATTTTTTGGCAGTGTTAGTTTAGAAGATTTTGGCTGATGTTATTGCTGGCTAGCAAAATAAAATGATTACAATTATTTGGCTTAAATGAAGCCGTCTGCTTTTGTTGACCTAATTTCTGTAGTCACAGAAAAAAAAAGAATTTAGTTTGCAAGGGCAAGGCCATGTGCTAAGTAAATGGCAGCTGTAGCAGTATAAATTAATGTTTTTCTTAGAAAGCGTCTCACCTTACTTTCTGGTTGTCCTGACTGCTTATTTTCTGTGTTCCTGTAACATCTTCTTTAACCTTGTTTAACTAGTACACAGTGTGACTGTGGATGAGCTTAAATTGGTGCATTGGAACAATTAGTAGATAGACAGCATGGGCCATGGAATGAAGGAGGCTGGTCCAGCCTTCTGAGCCTTAGGGCATACATTTACTGTGTATCCCAAAGCGGGGGGAAGGTGAATCTTCTGTCAGGCTAAAGAATTTAGTGTTATGTGTTTGAAAAAAAACATCACTTAAAATAAGAGATTGGCAGAGGGAGAGGAAAACAGTTTTCCTATGAAGCACTAAAGTTACAAACTAAGTTGATTGTTTCTGTTTTATCTTATTATATGTATCATACAATTTTAAACAGATAATAACCAACAGGGAAATCTGCAGAAGCATATCCAGCAACTGTTTAAGAATTAAAGTGACATTAAACCCTCAGATTTTTTAACATAAAACAATACTGTAATGTGTGCCTTACTGTAATCCATGGTTGTTTCCCTTCTATTTGCTGCTCTTTCTTTTAAATCTGTATCTGTTCTCATGCTCTGCAGAACTTCTGTTTTGCAGCAGACTGCCTTGTCTCAGGAATGGATACACGGTTTCTGTGTATACGTTTCTATAGGCTTGTAACCTGAGCAGCACTACAGGAAGAGGCCCTGAGCTGAAAAGGGAAGTTCCCCCCAAGCATGAGAAGACATGAGGATTTAAAAGGAAGAGCAGCAAAGAGAAGGGAAACAAGCATGGATTACAGAAAGGCACACATTACAGTATTGGTTTATGTTAAAAAATCTGAGGGTTTAATGTCACTTTAAGATTTTGACTTACCATAAAATCCTTTTCTTGGAGTACATTAAGGCACACATGGGATGAAGTATTCATGTACATTGGGTTATGCTGTTGCCTTCAGGAAATTGGACACTGGCAAAATTAGGACAGCTCAGTACAACCCCTGCATGCCTCAGTTTTGTAGCAAGCATTAGTAGGAGTGAACAAAGGGGGATTACTTAATGTACTCTAGTTAAAGAAAAAATGTTTACAGTCAAAAATACTATCTTCTTAATCATACATTAAGCGACACAGGATGAAGTATTTTATAGCACAAGAAAGGGTTCCATACAAGATAAGGCCACCAACACAGAGACTTGCTTGCAGAAGTGATGGCAATAAGAAATGGGACTTTGTGAGTAACTTATGAATATCCCCAAAGGGTTCAGAAGGTGGTTTCTGAAAAACACAACAGCTGGTTGAGATCCCATGGAGTTAGTAGGGAACATACAGGAGCATAGGCATGCACAACCTGTTGCATTAGGGTGTACACACACATGTACAAACACACACCCATATATATGAAGCAATTTTTTGGGGAGAATATACATTGGGGAGCAATGTATATTCTCCCCAGAAAAAGTGACTCCCAGGGTCCAAGATAGTTTCAATATGAAATGAGAGCTCAGAGTTGAGCAGCCATCTTTTCTTGTCCCTGTATGTGAGGGTGCCTAGGCTCTCCTGTGCCTCATAGATGTATATCTGCACTGTGGGATCTTAGGGATTGCTGCCTGTCACTGCTTGTCTCAGGAGATCTGGAATGAGATTTGATGGTTTTAGTGCTGTGCTGCTCACTATTCTGCTTGCTGAAGGCTCTGACATGAGGAAGCAAACCCTGCCTCTACCATGGTGGCTGTTCCCACACAGTGCAGAATAAAGCATTATACATCAGGAAAGGGCAAAGATTAGCTGAAGGGAGACCACTGCTAACACTGCTCGCTGGTCCTTGGTGCACTACCTGCCTTTTTTGGGAACAGCATTCAAATTTTAGTGCCTCTATAAGTTACAAATAGGCCATGAAAATGCAGTTGTTTTTGACTGTCCATAATGTCTACTTTTAGGTTCCCATTGTCTAAAAAAAAAAAAAACTCTCAACAGTGCATCTGCAGAGCTGGAAATTTCAGTGTCACTTTTCCTAGTCAGCAGAATGGGACAGCAACAGTGAAAAAGGAAGGAGAGGAATGTACAGTAGACTATGCTGTCTCCTCTGCACTCCAGCGAAAGCATTTGTACATCCAGAACGAGAGTGAAGCTACAGGATAGATCACATGCTTTTGTGTCCTCATTTACACATTCCTAAAGTGAGCTGCCTGTAAAAGCTGTGCAGTGTCCACGCCAGTCCTCCTCCCCTATGTCATGTCGATTTATTACTGTCATTTTTCCAAGCCAGCCAGCATTGTGACATTTAGCTGTATATGCTCAACAAAGCAATTCTAGATGTGTTAAAAGACCGAGTATATCCTCCCTGCTAGAAAAAGGACATACTAAAACTTAGTTCTGCAAAATGACACACATTCATAATTTTGTTTAGGTTTGTAAGGGAGTTGAAAGTCTGAAACGGCACTTGAAGGTAAATAAAACATATTGAAAATTATAATCACGTCTGTGTATTTACTGTGATATTGGTTTAAATTATTCCTATTTAAAGTGCTCACAGTTTGCTGTAGCTCACTGATCAAACCCACTTTCCCTTGACTAATCTCTGGTCCAGGCAAAGTGTTAACTCTCTGCATTATTATTTATTTATTTATGTTTGTTTTAAATAGTATTTTACGGGTACAAGGCCTGAGGAACACGTGGGCAGTGTATACTGAAAATAAACACAGGCTCTATCTCTATAAAAATAAGTCAGATGTTTCACTGGTCATCCAACCAGCTTTCTCAATTCAGAACGACTTGTACAAAAAATGATCTGGGAATAAATATGGTGAATGTGAATGTACTCCAATCCACACAATCTGTTAGTCACAACCAGGTGCTGATTGCATTTGCATAATTGGAGCTAGAATGTGTTATTAACCTGCTCAGAGAGAGGTGTTAAAACAGCATTGTATGTGGCAGACAATAGATGCCCCCCCCCCTCCCCTCTCTATTCAAGCTTGGCTTCTCCATTTTTACATAAATGGCCTCTTTCACACCTCTTTTAAACCAGTCCTCCCCCCTGTCTAGGATGCGTACTTGACTGTCTTCAAAGGTGTGACCTTTTTCCTTTAGATGTAAGACTTATTTTTTACAGATATACCATGGCCTGGATGAATCTTTTTTGCCTTTTTTCTGTCAAAATAAATAAATAAACAAACAAAAATTAGGTTGGCACCCTGATTGGGATATGAACTGTTTGAATAGCTCTGAATATTTCTGTTTTCTTTTTATTTAATTGTAAATATTTGTACAATTATGCTTAAGCATCCTTACCCCCATATCCCAACATGCTTTTTTAAAGTGATACTAAACTCAAGAGTTAAATCTTAAAAATGCATTCAAGTACCCTAACTTTTAACAAAAATTTATCTCATTTGTGTATCACTCAAATGTAGATATTCAAATCATCTCTGAATTTATGCTGACACTGTTCTTCCTTCTGGAGGGTGGCTTCTTTTGTTCCCCATGGTCCCTGTGTCTGTTGTAAAGTAGTCACCACTCCAAGATCACTACAATCTCATGTTTAGTTCACTGATTTATACTGATATGTAGTCTATCACGGGAGTGAGCTTGGAGCGGTGGGGAACAAAAGTAGCCACCCTTCCAGAAGGAAGGTCAGTATCACCACAAATTCAGAGATGATTTGAGCATCTACAGCTGAGTGATACACAAAAAAGGAAAATTTTTGTTAATAGTTAGGGTACTTGCATTTTCAAGATTTAACTCCTGAGTTCAAAGTCACTTTAAAAATGTTAATGAGAATATCTCACCAGACAACACCTCCTGTCTGTGTATACTGGGACAAATTATCAACTTTAAACTCCCTAATTTTGCACTTACCATTGTGCTCAAAAGTTTGCCTACCCTGGCAGAAATCATGAACATTTTGGCATTGATATTGACAAAATTACTGATCATGCCAAAAAACTGTCTTATTTAATGATAGTGATCATATGAAGCCATTTATTATCACATAGTTGTTTGACTCCTTTATAAATCATAATAACAGAAATCACCCAAATGGCCCTGATCAAAAGTTTACATACCCTGGAATGTTTGGCCTTGTTTCAGACAGACAAGTTGGCATACACAGGTTAAACTGGCAATTAAAGGTTAATTTCCCACATCTGTGGCTTTTTTCATTGCAATTAGTGTCTGTATGTAAATAGTCAATGAGTTTGTTAGCTCTCGTGTGAATGCACTGAGCAGGTTAGATACTGAGCTATTGGGAGCAGAAAAGAACTGTCAGAAGACCTGCGTAATAAGGTAATGGAACTTTAAAAAGATAGAAAAGGATATAAAAAGATATCCAAAGCCTTGAAAATGCCAGTCAGTACAGTTCAATCATTTAAGAAGTGGAACATTCGGGGATCTCTTGATACCAATACAAGTTCAGGTAGAGAAAGAAAGATTGCAGCCACAACTGCCAGAAGAATTGTTTAGGATACAAAGAAAAACCTACAGGTAACTTCAAGAGAAATACAGGCTGCTTTGCAAAAAGACAGTGTGGTTGTTTCAAGGTGCACAATACGACTAAACTTGATAAAAAATTAGCTGCATGGTCGAGTTGCCAGAAAGAAGGGTTACAATATGTCCGAAAACACCTTGACACACCTTAAAGATTCCGACACTGTAATTTGAAGTGACGAGACCAAAAAAGAGCTTTATGGTCACAACCCATAAGCGCTATGTTTGTAGAGGGAATAACCAGGCCAAGTTGACCCTCCAATGGTTATAGCAGAAACAAAGTGAAGGTTCTGGAGTGGCCATCACAGTCTCCTGACCTTAATATCATCGAGCCACTCTGGGGAGATCTCAAACGTGCGGTTCATGCAAGATGACCAAAGACTTTGCATGGCCTTGAGGCATTTTGCCAAGACCAATGGGCAAATCTACCACCTGCAAGAATTTGGGGCCTCATAGAGAACTATTACAAAAGACTGCATGTTGTCATTTATGCTAAAGGGGGCAATACACAGTATTAGGAACTAATGTTGTTTTTTGCAAGGTTTTGTTTTATATTTGTGCCATTCTGTTATGACCTACAGTT